CCGCGTCCCCTTCGCGCACTTTCTGCGCTCGGCGGCCTCGGCGCGACTCGGGCCCCTCCCCCCGAGCGGGGATGGGGAAGTCAAGGCAGGGAGCGCCCGCTGGGGTGCGTCCCCATGCGCGCCGGCGGGCGCACCGCGTCGTCCGCTCTGCGGCAATCGAGAGTTGTGTTGGGGCTCGCTCGTCTTCCCCGGAGTTAGTTGCCTCCTCTCCCGGGTCGCATCGAGGTCGTCCTAAACCGTGGCGGGTCTCCTTTCCTGCCCGCAACAGCCCCGGGTCCCGTGCGGCCGCACGCCCACCTCCTCCGGCCCCCGCCGCATCCCCACCTCCAAGGGAGAGCCGCCGGAGCCGAAGAAAATTCGCTCTGAGCACGCAGAACACAGCAGCGGGCAAATCAGAGTGCAGATGAACCCGCCCCCATTGTGAAACTCACACGGTTTCTACTACTGTGGACATCAAAACGTTCCTGACGCGGCCGCAGCCAGAAACTACCCTCGATCAAGCTAAACTGCCCAGGGCCCCAGCACAGTCACTCTGCCCCCTGCACAGAGGCAGTAACAGCAAGGGTACATCTGACAAGTGACTTGCCATCCCTGGACAAGTGCACGGTTATACAACGGTTCCTTGCACAAGTGGATACCTGTGCATAACCCAGGGCCCCTGCGCAGTGGCTTGCTTGTGACCCTGCAGGGTGACCCAGCACTAAACCACCCTACCCTCTCCTGCAAAATGGACATATACACGAGTCCGTTCAGCCTGCGGTCAACACCTGCTGCAAATCTTCTACAAGCCTGTAAAGCTTGCCACTGGGGGCAGGAGGGACAGACACTCAAAGAGTGAGGGGGACCCACGTTAACCCTAAATTCAACTTGAGGACCCAGACCTTCTCTGAACCACCAGATACTATTCCTGCAGTGGGAACTGCTGAGGCACACCCAAGGTAAATATGTTTTTGCAGGTTTGTAGGAGCCGCCAAGCCTATCCAGGTGGCCTATCCTCTATTCCATTTTATATTTCACTGTGCTCTGGACTCAGATCCTGGTTTTTGATAAGACTAAAGACAGAAAAAGGAGCAGGGCTAAAGGTGAGACTGCTTCTGTGGTTGTACAAGTCCTTGGTTTCAAGGGAGGAGGGGGTGATCAGTTCAGTTCCCCCAAAATGCTCCTCGTTCTCAACAAACCACAGTTGCTTGATTTCGCCCCATCTGGAGCCCTCTCTGGTTAGCTTGGCAGAGCCCCTTCCCCTGCCCAGCACCACTTGCCAAAGGAGGGACAGCCTTTCCTCACCTCCTTGAACCCTGTGTTCTGCCACCCCACCCCCACCCCACGCCAGACTTGTTGGGGACCTGACCTCACGTTCTGCAGTCCCCTACCTCTTCCCAGCTCGTTTTCTCCCTGAGTCAGGCTCCCCACCCCCCACTTTCTGTCCACCTCAACATAATCATAGAACCACCCAGCTCTCCCCACCAAGCAAATCGCTTATCCACTGGGAAAGCCACGGAACCACTACCAGCTGCCACTCTCAATCTAGACCAGCATTGTCTTGTCAGGACCACCTTACCGGGAGTGGACCACCCTGCCGCCTCCCAAGACCAAGAGCAAAGCCGCTGCTATCCCCATTTAACCCCTAAGGGAAAATGAGAGGACCATGGCTAGACTCACAACACCCTGCGGATGATTCAATTATTGTTCCTGCCAGCGTATATTTCGTGAGAACCATCTCTGCAAGAGCAAGTGTCAGAGTCCCGGCAGAAAACAAAGGCACTTGTCCCCTAAGCGTGGATTTGAAGATAAAGAGATGCTTCCCCCCACCCCCCAACCCCAGGCACAAACTGCTGGTTTGAGGTTCAGATGGCAATTTGCAGGGCCAGCTACTTGCTGATTTTTATTTTGATATGCAACTTGGAAGCTGGAGGCCTGGCAAGAATGCCCAAACATGGTTAATTTACTCCTTGAAAGCCCTCCTCTGTAGTCATTATCTACATTTGAGGCCATTCTCAGGTGGATAATCGGGCAAAGTCTGAGACCATGTGTGCCTCCTAACCACAGGGCACGGTGGAAAACGCACTGAATTTTGAGTTAGGAGAACTACTTTCTAACTTTGAGGACTCTGTCAAATAAACTCACCAAGCTTCAATTTTCTTATCTACAAAAAATAAAGCCATCTTAATCCCTATCTATCACTCAGGACTGCTCAGAGTATCAGAATCACAGAGATAGAATAAGTACAATTGTAAAGGCCCCAGATAGAAGTATTACGGGCAGGTGCATTGGAGACAGGCATTCTAGTCCCAGCTTTGCAACCAAGTGGTCATGTGATTTTTGTCCTGGTCATCTCGCCTCTCTGGACATTGGTTTCTTCATATGTGAAATGAAAAGAGATCTTGCAGCCCTGATCGTTCCCTGCCCCCTTCAGGATGTCCACCTGAGCATGAGATGAGAGTAGCTCCAGGTGAGGCCACCCAGGATAGGGGTCAGAGCTGAATTATGCAATTAAGCAGATGTTCCTCCTAGCTTCGAACCCGGATCTGGGTTGTAAACAAGCCAGCACTTCCTCCATGCCTCCAAAATATCCTCAACATTGGGGTGGGAATGTAGACAGAGGCAGTTCCCTCATCCCCCTCTGCCCCAACGTGTTTGGCCTTGCTCTTGATGCTGTGCAATATCATGAGGGAAATCAACATGCATGGGAATTTAATACTAGACTCACAGCTGTATAGAAAAGGCTTGAGCTTTTCATCAGACTTTAAACTGCCCTCCTCTGTCCTTCTGCCCATCCTAGGCGATCCTGAGCTTGGGCTGGAGATAAAGCTAGGCAAAAACCACCCAGAGGTCTTGGGGTCCCACATTTTTATCCAGATGGAGTCACATTTAAAGTAGTTAACAAGGGGGCACCTGGGTGGCTCAGTCATTGGGCGTCTGCCTTTGGATCAGGTCATGATCACCGAACCCCGCATGGGGGTCCCCGCTCCGCGGGAGGCCTGCTTCTCCCTCTCCCACTCCCCCTGCTTGTGTTCCCTCTCTCACTGTGTCTCTCTCTGTCCAATAAATAAATTTAAAAATCTTTAAAAAAATAAATAAAATAAAATAGTTAACAAGGACAGCCATGAGGAGAAGGGAAAAAATCCCAGAAGCCTAACTGAACTTGTTTTTGTTCTCTTTCTCCCCTCATTACCTTCCCAAATACCAGGATCTATCTGCTCACCCTCCCCACCCCCACCCCCCAGGACTACCCAACTCCTATTCCTCCTCCGGGTTCCAAAGGCCTCCCTCTGCACCCAGCCTAGGTTACAGTCCCTCACACTAAGGTTCCAAGTTCCCCATGCTCTTTGATGCTTCCTCTCTGGTCATATTAGCTTCATTGAACTTCATTTTCCTCTCAAACCACAAGCAGCAGGAGGCTAACAACGGGCTTGTCTTGCTTATGTCTGTGCTCCTTCATAATCCCCCAGTGCCCAGCATAATCCTGGCACAGAGTTGAGTGCTCAGTGATACTCACAGAATGCGTGTGGATGAATGAAGGGGAGGGATGACCCCCCTTTGCCTTGTGGTAAGGGTTTAGGGCAGTTAAGGCACCAAGGCAGCTGAACGTTAGACCTTTTCTTACCACCATCTCTCCCCCCCTCACCACTTCTTTCTCCCAAAGTTGGCTTCTCTGAGTCACAACCAGACCTCAGAGCCACTGGAACAGAAAAGGGACCCCCCCCAACACTTGGGAGTGGTGAACTTTATCCCCCCACACATCACTTTAGCCAAATAACTATTATTCACCTCACCAGCCAGGGTAAGATAGAAATACCCTCCTGCCCCAAAGAAATAACACTTTCTTCTGCTGTTGCCAAAAATTCCTTTAGTTAAGGCAAAGTCTGGAATAATTGATGGGGTTGAAAATCGGATGCATCGAGAACATAGAACAAGTAACTTAGATTCACACTCTAGAATAAATTAAATTCAAAGAGGAGGTTCTGGAAATAGGAGTAACTTACTTTTGCATGGCAGCACTTTCCATTTATTTGCATAGCATTATAACAACCTTATCTATCAAATGTCATCTCTCAGCAACTGGTTCAAGTGGGCCAAAGCAGGCATTATTGACACCCCCATTTCACAGATTTTGAGAATGAAGTCTCAGAAAGGAAGGTTATGTCACTGGCCCAAAGTCACGCAGTTTGTGAGAGCTAGATTCAAACCAGGCTCTCTGACTTTTTCTGCGGCGGCTGATTTCCCTGAGGCCGAGAGAAGAGCTGGTGTTTCAAGTCCCAGGTTGAGTAAGGCAGTGAGAACCAGCACAGACAGGGGAAGACAAAATTGCTCAGGTCCTCAGCCCTCCCTCTGCCAGGCCCTGCTTCAACCCTCCGGCAACCAACACCACCCTCCCCAGGTGCCTAGCAGAAGTGTGGCGCTCATTTGCCTTACTCCCCCACCTCAGGCCCATGATTGGGCCACAGGGAGCGTTACGTTACAGAGTTCCCAAGTCAAATCCTGTTTGCTATACTTTTCTAGAAAAATGTAATGAGGGATTTTGTTTTGAATTTTCAAATGGGGGATTTTGCTTCAAAACCCATGAAGGAGCACAGGTTTTAAGAGGCTGCCCTCAACTTCTGGTTCCCCTGATTACCTAAGGGTCTTGCCTTGATCTCTCTGCAACTCAACTTCTTGAACTTTTACGACAAGAAAGTATTTAGACCTTTCTCACAAAGCCTGTGTAGCAAAAATATAGAAAGGTTTATTATCGTTATGTAGAGACAAGGACAGAATCTCCTGGGAAATTATCTCCTTCTCTATGAATCTAGAAT